CCACACCAACTCTGGGCAAGTCACTTCACAGGTCTGCCTCATTTTCTCCATCTACAAAAGTTATATCAACAAACATACTTTCCTTTGTAAAATGCTTTGCCACCCGCTGAAGAAAAGGACTGCAGAGAGAGAACCATTATAGATGAACAACACAAAATTATAATTTATACATCAAATGCCTGCCTTGGGTTTCTGGATCTAATTATAGCCCTCAATTTTTAAAATAATATAGGCATATGCATGTGTACACATGCTCACGCCTGGCTTATGTTATCAACAGAAACACTAGGTAAATATACAACACTGAGTTGTCCACTGAAGCGCTGTGTGTATGTTTCTCTATCAGATCACAAATATAGATATTTTCGTGTATAATATGAATCAAATAGGTCAGTATATAGTATACTACTGGACACAAAATTTGAGATTCCAGAAAAGTCAAAAGCTGCATAAGTGGCATTCATTCACACAAGATTACAACTATTTAATTCTATAATTTCTATAGATAATTTTTAGAAGGAAATTATCAGACAATGCCAATATTTTAAACAGCTGTAATAAATGCACATTTTTGCTCATTTATAACCTCCCTTATTTATAGTTCCAGAAACAGCTATGAAAACCTTCCTTATGGAACTGAAGCAGCACTGAAATCAAAGATCCTTACCCAGGTACTCCTGCAGATTCCATACGATTTGCTAAGGAAACATCATGAGACCAAACATCGTATTGCCATTTCCGGAGTCCGATCACACCACAAAGTACATTCCCAGAATGAATACCAACTCTCATATTGATGTCTACTCCAGTAGCTTCTCTCACTTGCCTATGGGAGAAGGAAATTACTAGATAATTAACGAACTTCCCAGACATATACTTTCCTCCACAGTACTTAATTGTTTTCCACTTACTGGAAAGCATATGTAAAACTGAAAATTGCTGAGGACAGTAAAAAAGTAGAGATTTGTTATAATTAACCAAAGATGCTCTTCATCAAGAGTTCCTCTGATCTGTGTATTTTAAGTATTTTTTAATTTTATTACATATAATAATAGTGTGGCTTTGATCTTCCAAAGAGAGAATAAACAAATGAATTAAATCTCAGCTAACTGCATATAGGGGCTCAGAACAGCAATGTCTTTTGCATTCAAATTAGAATATAGATGAGAATCAGTCTCATGCTGATAAGAATTTAGCCTGGCATTGTCAAAAGCCCATAGCAGTGGTGTAACATGTCTCCCACTTAAGTCAAGGGGAATGAATTTAGGCCAACTGAATGCTTTTAGAAATATCACCCTTAGGCTACACTTCACACCATTTCAGATAAAAGATTTTTAAAGAAGATAATTAAATCTCTTTGGCTTCCTAAATGTATCTTATATATAATTAAACCATTCTATGCTACTTGAATGTCAGGTTGATGCTATAGATAACTTTCTCAAGTACTGGTGCCTTGATTGAGAATCCTTATTCCAGACTGTCCACAGCACAGGCTAAAAATAACCTTATCCAATAGCTTCATAGCTTTCTTAAAAAATTCAACACTGCAATTCAAAGCTATATCCATATATTCTGGATGTATGTTATAAAGTTTGTTACTATACATACTTTATAGCTTCACACATGTCAAGTCCCATTTTCACACAATTCCTGGCATGAACTGGTAATGATACAGGTAGGCCTGAGACACAGTAATAACAGTCTCCCAAAATTTTTATTCTCATGCATTCATTTTCCTGCAAAATCAAAACAAAGAACAATAACAGGGGGGGGGGAAAACATTGCAGATAGGCACATAGCACAGGAGCAATCCATTGTCAGTACTGTTAGAAGAAAAGTATGGCCCCATTTAATGCTGGCTGAAATCAAAGACATTCTCCCTCTCCCTTCAAAATCAAAGAGGTTTCTTATTTTTGTTTCCTCTTGCCTTTATCACTTCTGAATTACTGAAATAAACCCTAACTAAACTTAAAGCCAGAAATCTGTAAAAAGGCTTCATTAGAAGTCAGGAACCTACCACCTGAAGGACAAAACCTATTTCTTTTACTGGGGTTTTCATTATGAGAAAAACATTAAAAAAATAGCATATTTACTTGGGGTGAGTAGAATCTTGAAACACTAGCTGAGTAGATAAAGTATTGTGTCTTATCACAATGCTTGCCAAGACTTGGGGAAAGAAAGAAGGAACAAAATAATCACCCCAGCAACTTTGCTGAAGATATTTTCAGTTGACTGAAGAGGGAAGCCAACATGCATGACACTTCTCCACTGCTAGAAGCTAATCACAGGGCAGCAATTCAGTTGAGACTGCTGTTCTTTATTGCCAGTAGAAGAGCAAAAGGTGATTACTTGTGATGTTTAGCTTCAAGACATTCATTTAAATTAAACAAACGTCTTGGGAAAGGGAAGACTAATCAGGCACTCAGAACAGTGAGAGAACACCCCATGTTCTCTATTGTCTTGGGCCACCCTGCAGATTCTCAGTATAACCACGACAGTAGCTAGGCAGCCACATACCTTTTCTGTTTAATAGATTATAGGGGGAAGTACGTTTTTACGGTTAAGGTGCTAGACTGAGACTCCAAAGAATTGGGCTCAATTCACAGCTATGCCATGGATTTTTTTATTTTTTTTTTTAGGTAATTTGGGGAAAATCACTTAGTTTCTCTATGTTTCTATTACACATTTGTGAAGTAAAGAGCAATAGTATTTTTTTTTGGCTTGGCATGACTTGATTCCTAAAACATCTTCAATCTTTACTCTGGCTTTTCTTCTTACAAGCAAAACACTCCAAGTATAATATAATCCTATCATAGTTTTCTTGTACTCCATCACTTATCTTCAAAGTATAACCCTTGTCCAGACGTACTGATATACCCAAGAAAATTAAGTTGAATTTTTCAATGAACTTAAGTTTGGTCTTATTTTAATTAAATGTTTCCATCATTTTGTTTTAAAAACATCCAATTTGATTACTGTATACTTATGCAGCCACATTACTCATCTCTCAAAATGTTACAAAACCAGGGTGATACACTAGGTTGAAGTAAGACAGGCAAAATAAAATTTTGTAGGGCTTAATGAAAACTATTTTCAGACTTTTTGCAAAAGTCCAAACTTTTTACATTTCTTCAGTTCAAACCTCTTATCTACTGGTGCTGATAGCAGGGTAACTTGTAACATATACAGTGTACTTATACTAGAAAATTAGATGTGGAATGCTGAGATTATTTTTCTGAAATATTATATAAAAATAAACTCTACTATTATAAAGGCAATTCAACCATTAACTTTTCTGAAAATTCAAACAATGCTCAGTTATCTTTTCAAATCCTTTTCACAAAGTTTCTATTTTTACCTTAACTTCTGCAGCACAAAAAAGCTAATGGCAACTGAAATACCATGTATTCATAAGACTTAGTGTACACTATGGCTTTTAATGAAAAAGTTAGTATGACCTGCTCAGTCTTCAGTGCTTGTGACGTTTTAATGGGAACTAAATTCATGGAAATACTATATGAAAAACTAAAAGTGTGGGAAAGGATGACTTATTGTTTAAAAGGTTTTAACCATGTACTTATGCTATTTTAGCACTAGTGATACAGCACATTTAACAATTTAATTTGACCGCATCCATCAAGATTTAATTAAATCGCTTTCATAAAGCTCCTTCTGTTTAAATGACTTATAGCAAAATGACATAATACTTTAACAGCAGTTAGAATTTATAATTTCTCCTGCCTACTTCATAGAAATTTTTAGAACTTCACCAACAAAAGATTTTACAAGCCCATTAAAATCTTCTATCTAGGCTTCAGTTATATGCATAACTCAAAATATACTTGTTTCTAAGTCAAACAAAGATCTTTAAACATAACATTCTACCTGCTATTATACATTGTTTTGTCTCCTACTGTAAGCCACCCTGAGCCTTTTTGGAAAGGGCAGCATATGAATCAAATAAATAAATGAAATTCAAGCACTGGAAGTTCTGAAAGGCAGGCATTGATCTTTGCTTGTTCTTCAGCAAGAATACATTTCTAGAATCAGAACTTAGCTGGATTTTTTTTTGTCTGGTCACACAGGACACAACAGAATGAATGCAGCTTTACTCTTTTAAAGCTGTATCACCTTCACAGGGTTGAGAGCAGAAAAATCATTACACAGGACTAGACACACACAAAAAACAGACCAGTGCCATTCTTAAGACTCCAGCAGCAACTGAATCCTGCAAACCTTTCCTGCCAGCATTTGGTCTACTGACTCCAACAGCACTATAGTGGTAATGAGTCTTAGCAGAATTAAATACTTGCTGCAGCAGTCCCATTTCATCTCTATGCATAACTAGAAGTCTGAAATTGGATGTAGCAGAGTTTACTAGAAGATGTGAACAACAGGAAACTGAATTATGAGGCTGTTCTGAGATGCTGGAAACATCCTAAATTGTAAGTGCAAAGTTAATTACCATACTCCAGAGTTGGGGGATGCAGTTTCTTGCTTTTTGTATTTTAAAAAACATTATTCTGTACGATGTTGCCAGCAACTTTCAAGCCAAACTAGCACTGAGCACTGCGTTCATCAATCCACATTCCTGGCCTTACTGACCAGCCCCAGGAATTGCTTCCTCTATTTAGCCAAGGGGTGGGCAAAATATAGCCCATGGGCTGTATTCAGCCTACAAACTGATCCTATCCAGCCCGCTGACCGCTACCAGGAGCCTGAGGAGGGAGGGCTGTTCCGTGCACCTCTCTGTTCTGCCACAAGTGGAGTTGGGCCACACTGGGATGCACGCAGACTCCTAGTTAACCCAGTCACCAACTCATCCAGTAGACGTAGCAGCATTCATCTCCTCATCTCATCTCTGAATAAGAATCAGCTAGCTGAAACACCCAGCAACCTAATCCCAATGCCTAGACCAAGAAAAGGAGAAGTAAGGGGTAAAGCCTCAAGAAACTGCCAGAGTTAACTGAACAGCGAGCCAAGGAAATGACAGAGTCAGTCAGGAGCACTGCACTTCTTATGAGACTGAAGCCCACCCCATATTGCAGCCTATTTCTGATCAAGACCAGGGCTATTCAATGTACAGGCCACAAGGGGTCACATACTGCTCCCCATTCCTCCCAGACATATGCACGACCTACCTGCAGCATGGGCAGTCTCCCTCTTTTGCTGCATACAGCTTTGACAGCCAAGACCTCTCCTAGCTGCTGTGGCAGGAGCAAATGGGGAGGTGAAATGGCAGCCAGGTAGGAGCTTGCAGGTTGCATGAAGCTCATGAGCTGCCAGTTGGACAACCCTAATCAAGACACTCACTATCACTTATGCAATTAAGGGGGCAAATATTAATCTGATCTGCTCATGTGGACATACAGCTTGCAGACTTCTCAATCTTCAGTTTAACATATACTGCACTTGCTGGACACTAACTTTACCATGTTATAATTTTTTTCTTTAACCAATGTAGGTACAGACATGGATGTCTGTGAAAACACTGGTAGACACAGCCCAGGCCATTGCAAACAATATTTTTCCCTCTGTCCCTCTTTGCTGTATTAGTCTGACATTTTTGGCACAAAGTATATCAAATATAGATGTCAGACTGTTTTAGTCTACCAGTTTCAGATTGAATTGCATGCAAGTAACAGACAAATCAACAAACAGATCTACTTTGGTTAGTCTGTAAGGTGCAAATCTACCCTGCCTTCTATATACTAGTAAAACAGGATAGAATTCTCTCTTATTTGAGTGCAATCACTTAATTATACCGCAACTATAATTTCACCTTAGAAAAGAAAAACTTAAGACATTAGAGAAAATAAATCCTTCTCTTTGTGTTACAAGTTCTCTTATAGTTTTTAATTGTTATTATATAAAACAGTAACTAACTCAAAAGAACACTGCAACATTTTCTATTACATAAAAAGCATTTCAAGGGATCTCAAAGCATCTAGCAGAATCCACTCAATACATCTGTACAGGACTGTAGATAAATCTTACTATTCCCATTTCATATGTGGGTTAGCCAAACAAAGAGTTAAGTAACTCAGAGACTCATACATTCAGCAGCCAGACCTTAGAGCAGAATCCACAAAAACTAGCTTAGGTTTTGTCCCACAAACCATCCTTCTGGCTTTCAAGCAGCTTTCCTGATCTTCTAATGACTTTTAAATTAATTTTACTTTACATTGTTGGGATTTTTATTAGCTGAAAGTCAAGTAAGTCAGAATCTCCCATGGATGCAACCTACCCTGCATTTTAGTTACTGCGGCAAAAGCACCGACTCCTGACCCCTTCCTTCTGTGAACTGCAGAAAAGTTATCATCTCAATGCAGGCAAACACTACTTTTAAAAACCAAAAGTGCAGAACCTACCTTTGCAATTTGATCAAACTTCCCAAAGAGTTCATTCAGCATCACTACCAACTCCTTGGGAGAGCAGTCGCTAGCCAGCCGTGTGAATCCGACAATGTCTGCATAGAGGATGCTGGACAAGGACATAGTATGCAGTCACATTTTAATTATTTCCTATTAAAATGCATGGCTTTTACCTTGCAATATGTTATGCTTAAACTCTAAAATGCATCTATCAGATAGATTCTTTGATATTCTCTTTCAGAATCAACTTCAGAAGAGACTGAAAGGGCAACATCATTTTTAACTAAATTTGAAACACGGGACTTGAGTCCAGGACACACTATCTTCAAAAACAAAAAAGCTTACTTTGGCACAAAAGCCATCAAAATTTGACTTTTCAGTAGCCTAAGGCCATAAAACACTGTTAATAGTGAACTGCCAATGTAATTTTAAAAAAAGGTCCAAATTTAACAAATTTAAAACATAGTTTCATAGATGTTAGGATCGGAAGGGACCTATTAGATCAGAGAGCACAACCTCTGCCCTGGGCAGGAATGAGTGCTGGGGTCAGATGACCTCAGCCAGATGCCTATCCAATCTGCTTTTAAACACCTCCAAGGAAGGGGACAGCACCACCTCCCTTGGAAGCTTATTCCATATTTTGGCAACCCTCACAGTAAAGAATTTTTTCCTGATGTCCAATCTGAATTTGCTCTCTTCCAGTTTGTGCCCATTATTTCTAGTTACCCCGACATGCGCCCTGGTAAACAGTGCATCCCCTATTTCTTGCTGGCACCCCCAACGAGTTTGTAGGCAGCCATGAGATCACCTCTCAGCCTCCTCTTGCAGAGGCTGAAGAGGTTTAGGTCTCCCAATCAGTCCACATAGGGTTTTTTCTGTAGGCCTTTAACCAGATGAGTGGCCCACCTCTGAACCCTCTCTGGGCCATCCACATCCCTCCTGACGTGTGGTGCCCAAAACTGGACACAGTGCTCCAGCTGCGGCCTGACCAATGCTGCATAGAGGGGAAGTATCACCTCCCTAGACCTGTTTGTGATGCACCGACTTATGCAAGAAAGGGTGCGGTTAGCTTTACTTATTACCTCATCATGCTGGTAACTTGTGTTCATTTTGGAGTCGACTACGCAGTTGTGCTACTTAGAGTGGTACCTCCCAGGCTATAGGAGTGTTGATGATTCTTCCTCCCCAGGTGCAACACGACACTTATCCTTGTCTGCTTGGCCCATTTCCCCAGCATGTCCAAATCAGCCTGGATTCGTTACCTGCCGTCTAGTTTGTGTACCTCAAGGTGCTTTCTACTCCCTCATCCAAATCACTAATGAAGATACTGAATAGTCCAAGTCCCAGGACAGAGCCTTGGGGGACTCTGCTGCCCATTTTTCTCCAGGTAGAAACCAACCCATCCACTACCAATCTCTGGGTGTGTCCCATAAGCCAATTTTCTACCCACCTGACTGTGTAATAATCTACAATGCAACTGTTTAGTTTATTTATAAGAATTGGTTGTGACACTGTGTCAAAGGCCTTTTTAAAATCTATGCAAGTATCATCTATCTCTATTCCTTCATCCAAGCATTTTGTGACCAAGTCGTAAAAAGAAACCAGGTTAGTCAGGCAGGATTTGCCTGCTATGAATCCATGCCGATTGCCCTTTACCATCATTTTACCCACTGGTCCCCTGCAAATGTGATCCTTCACAATTTTCTCAAAGGTCTTGCCAAGGATAGAGGCAAGACTAACCAGCCTATAGTTACCCTGTTCCTCCTTCCTCCCATTCTTGAAAACAGGGACCACACGCTGGCCCTTTTCCAATCTTCTGGGACCTGTCCTGAGCGCCATGAGTGCTCAAACAGTTGTGCCAGAGGATCTGCTACGACTCCAGTTAATTCCCCAAGTACCCTTGTAGCAGAAAGCCCCCTTTTCCTCTTGCCTGCATTTGCTCTCCCTTCTTTGGATATGTTTCTCTTTTTCTACCTTTCTTCCTTCCTCTTTCTTTCACTTTAAGATAAGGAATTGTGTTTTAAAATTTGTGTGCGCGCATTTTG